ATATTTTTTGTCTATTGTTTTTGGGGTTAAAATAATTTTTAATCTTACTAATATAAAGACCCCTTCCTGACCACCTAGGAAAAAAGTTTATTCACACTTCAGGTATTCTATGGATAATTATAAATTTGGATATAAAAGAGATTCAGGAAAAAAACTCTGCAAAAAAAGTGACTCAGATATTGCATTCTAATGATTAAACTGGTAAATTTAAAGAGCTTTTGATAAAATATTGAAAACTATTTTACAATATACTCAGAAAAATATTCTAGAGAATTCTAGAACAGCTTAAATTAAATCTAAAGTATTCCAGAAAGCCTTATACAGTATAAAAACAGTTTAAAATAGCCATTCAAGCCACTAACCAGATGAAAGGGTACAAACATGCATCAGAACCACTTGAGGCATCTATTATTGCCCTCTCAAAAGCAGGCAAGTCTACGAGAGAAATTGCTATAACTTCGTAATCAGCTTAGGGCATATAATGATGCCACTCCTGCTCCAAGTAAGGAAACAAGGTGATGAAAGAAAAAGATTGATGATAGAATTGGCAGGGTAATCAAGAGAGAAGTTGCGAAGAATAGGACTAACTAGCCAAGAAATTGCAGCCAATCTAAGCGAAGAGCAAGGTGTTAGTCTTGCCTTTTCAACAGTCCATCAGAAAAAGGTTACAAATCTTGTTAGAACAAGGCTACAAATCTTGTACACGAAGGTTTAAGCCGCTAATAAGCAAAGCCAACAAAGCCAAGAGACATGAATGGGCTCACTATTACAAAAATTTCACCGTAGAAGACTGCAAGAATGTTCTCTTCTCCGATGAAACGAAAGTTGAGCTAAATTCAAAGGATAAGTTACTTTTATCAAACAGCACTGTATATATATAAATTAATAGGCCGGTTAATGAAATTTAAGGAATAAAAAGACAACAAAATAACAACAATATTGACAATAAGATTGATGATATTTATTATATATAGATGACATATATTATACATTTATAGGCCTTTTATATTTTATATATATACAGTGCTGTTCGATAAAAGTAACTCACCTGATTTTTTTTACTAAAAATATTTTTTGTCTATTGTTTTGGGGGTTAAAATAATTTTAAATCTTACTTATATATATATATATATATATATATAGGAAGAATGTGTCTTTTACTTCTTGATTTATGTCAGATAGTATTAATTTCACTGAATCAGTATATGAACTCAAATACACATAACCACTAAAAGTAATGTTTATATTTACACACACACACACATATATATGAGCACAGTGATTGTTGGTGGTACTAATAAAACAGAGCTTGATGTAAAATATTAAAAATAAATTTACATTTGTGCCTCATGTTTCGATGAATGTTTCATGCATATAACAATCACCAGGCATAAATTAAAGTCTTTCCACTGTAATACTAACTTATTTATAGACTACTGGCAAGATAATGGAGCAGTGCATTTACATATGAATAAAATAAATAAATTTACATATTATTTACATTATTCAGACTATTGTCCTCATCTTTGTCGCCATATTTATCACTACGTTTCGGCCGTTGTACGCTCCGGCCTTCTTCAGGAGGTTTGAATGTCGAACTGAACCCTTTATTTTGCTCACCGAGGTAGACTGTTCTAGTTCCACGTGCCATGTTTGATGGATGTCAGTTATCAGTTATCCCCTGTTAATTTCCCTCTGAAAACTCTCCACTGCCTTAACCGGGTATTGAACTCACACTCTTTGGGTCCTGTCACTGGATCTAACCAACACTTTTATCCACTGTGCCATGTGCCCTTCAAACATGGCATGTGGAACTAGAATAGTCTACCCTGGTGAGCGAAATAAAGGGTTCAGTTCGTTATTCCAACCACCTGACGAAGGCCAAAGCGTACAACGGCTGAAACGTTGTGATAAATATGGCGACAAAGATGAGGACAATAGTCCGAATAATGTAAATAATGTACATAATACCTCATCTCAGAAATATAGACAAATTTACATATATATATATATATATGTATATATATATATAGATAGATAGATATTGATAATATTAGTGGTAAATATACACATGCATATGCAACTCTAACATTCATCCCACACTCTCATACATACACTCTCGCTAAATTTGAATATTTGAATCATATTTTCAATTTATTGTAATTTGGACCTTTGTGTGTCAATGAGTGTCCCAGCTCTGTATTTCCTGTTTGTTCCTTTGTCTTGTTCTATGGTATTGACTGCGGTGTTTGTGTATCATCTTCTAAAGTTAAAAAAAAAACGACAAGGAAATGAACTTTGTTTTTTGGCTAAGGTAGTCACTTAAAAAGAAAAGAGAAAATCGCTATTCAATGACTTGTAAAAGTCGTCAGATGCAGTGCATATTTACAAAAGGCAGAAGAAAAGAAGGTCTGAAATGTTGTGCTACAAACAAGAAAATGAACGTTGTAATCTGAAAGAGGGGAAAAAATAATAATAAAAAGAACATATTGGCTATTCCATTCTTTAGATTTCCTTGGGTGTACATGGAACGAAAGGTCCGTTTTGCTTTCTGATAGCGTCACCAATTTGTGAAAGATACAGAGTTGCTCAGTTCTTTGAGGACACATCTTGAAATTGCCCTTTTTCTACCTTGTTCTGATTACATTTCTTCTATCTAAATAAATAAATGGAAAATTCTGTCTGCCCATCTGTGTGTCTGAAACCATTCAAACTCGGGCCATAATTGCTTTACATAGACATAGCATACCTTTTTGGAATCAGGATGATTCCTGGAATGAGAATTTGCCTCTCATCTGGTGCTTGAATATCCAGCATTGGGACTTGTGTCCAGATGAGGAAGGAAGAATTAAAAATTTAAATTTTAAAATAACTGGAAAAAATTAATGATTTTAAAAGTTTTTAATTTATATTGAGTTTAAGGTAACACAAAACCTTTGTGAATTTAAATTTTTTTGTTTTGAATTCAGTTTAAAATATCTCCAAAACTTTGCCAATTGAGGAAATCAATTTTATTTCTTGAAAATGCCAAGAAATCAGAGCTAAAGTGAAAGGTTTCGTGGCATGAGGTTTTGAAGTTCCACAAAGTTTGTGATCTGAAGAACTCAATTTTTGGCCTGAATTGGTATTTCAGACCAAATTGGATACTTGGCCCAAATCAGTCTGTTAGCCAGAATTGGACTTATAGCCCGAATCAGAGTTAAATTGAGGTTTTAAAGTTCAATGGAGTGAATTGAGGAATTCAAAGTTATTTCTTCAAAATTATCATTGCTGTTTTCTAAGCTGAACCAGAGGACCCTTTAGTCTTGGACTGGAGGCCCAATTAGCCATCTGCAAGAGCTAACTTAAAAGTTCACACAGAGTGTGGCTTTTAAGTTAGTTTCAGATAAATGATGAAAAACATCAAGCTGAGCAAATAAAAAGACATTGTAATCATTGCCTTAAAGGCAGCGCATAGTGATTTGGAAACTGTTCACTTCCAGAAAGTTGTATGGTTGTTTGTTGTCAAAGTTTTCAAAGAATTGAAAATGGCTGATGGTGGTTCTACAGCACTAGACTGCTAAGGGTTTTAATAGCATCAGACCTTTTTTTTTTTTTAAATGTTCACCCAGTACAAGTCCCCAGGCCACTCAAGGTAGAGGGTTAACGTGTGGAGTTGTATTAGCATAAGAAAGGGCAAGACAACAGGAAATTTCGACAGCTAATTCCAGTTTTGAAGATGTCAAGATTTAATTAGCAAATAAAATTTCCGGATTCAGGAGGAGATGTTAGGCGTATAGAGTTGAAGTAGATTTTAGAAGGAACTGAAAACGCAATCCTAAACAGGAAACAAGGGATGAACTGCTACACCTGTTCGAAAAAGTGGGGAGGAGTGTGAACCAGGCAATAGGGAAACCTATCTAATCCTATTGGGAGAGAAAAAAATTATAATGACTGAAGAACATTTCTGATTTCAGTCAGACGTCAGAAGTACAGAGTTGAAGAAAATTATTTATAATAATCCATAAGTCAATTAATAGCACTGTTAAGGTTTCAAAGCACTCTATTGGAAGAACTAGTACAAGTCATATGTGATGTGAACTGGTACAAGTCATATGTGATGCATATCTCCAAAAAGAAATAAGATAACTATCTAAGTGATTGTTGAGCAAATTGAAAGCTCAAGAGCCTGGAATACTTCAGCTTTTCTCTGATAGCTCTGGGAGTATTGAGAAATGCAGATTATGTCTGCATTCTTCATAACTTAAGGGTCAATACTTATGGGGCTAGGGGGAGGTGTTGGAGAGGGTTGTGTTGCCTTGGATAAAGAGAGCGAGCAAAGAAAAACCACAGACCTACTAACAAGATGCTGTACAGTCTCATAAGGCCAAGATAATTGATGAATGCAGGTTACAATTGCCACGATCATGCCACTCCCAAATGTAGGGTCTCCTAGCTCTCCAAACCAGAAACTGTTGGACTACTATGTATAAAGTGTAGTCAAGAGGGAAGTCAGTCATTGGCCCCATAACACGATACAATCTCTGAAGTCTACTACAATGAGCACAATATACAAAACAGATAAAGATCATCTGATTCAGGCATGCCAATGTTTCAGACCTTGTATTGAAGCAGACATCGATGCTAATGGCAAATTCATTAAATAGGTACAGAAAGTTTATTCAAACTAATTTTTATCTCAGATAAGGCTCTTCTTTCATACATCTTGTACTAAATTCATGCAAATGTCCACATAGAATTGATCAACTCTGTATACTGATCTGACCAACATATTTATACTGTTTCTTACATCAACTTCTGTCATTGGTAATTCAGTATTTTAGATGGACAGCGACTCTCTAATTTTGTAACAAAAAAAGAAAGTCAACAGTCGGAACAATACTTGGAAACGGATTCCATATTTCCATTTGATTTCAGGCTGAATCGGAAGCATAAAAAAATGATGATGAAGTACTAAAACCTTTTTCCTCTTTTTTGTAGACAAAATCAAATGGTTTCTGTCAGCTGTGATCAATTTTGGATGTTGAGATGCACAGATTGCAAAGAATAGATCGCAAATTCAGGTCCAGAAATGAATGATCATGACTGCCACTTGTGTTCATAGAATGACTCAGGTCTTGGATAAGGTTTGTGATGGAATAGATATCAAAAAGTTTCTTGTTGCTCCTGCAAGGAATCAAAGAAAACCAATAAAAATAGCATCAACTCTAAACTGTATAAACAAACAGAATATATTCATATACTTGTAAAATCAATAATGTATCTGTCTATATTTCTGAGATGAGGTATTATGTTTACATTATTTACATTATTCGGACTATTTTCCTCATCTTTCTGGCCATATTTATTACAACGTTTTCTTTCAAAATATCTCCATTGATACGGAGGACAATAGTCAACTAATGAAAAAAAAAATTTTGTCTCACATTTTGGGTGTATGTAATGTTTAAGTGTAAGTTTATGTCATTTTTAAAAATAGTTTGAATGAAATATTCCTCACCCACTTAGCTCCATTTAGAGCAATAAAATAATTTTTTGTCCCCAAAATGGAATATTTAAAAATTGAACCTTGGAACAATGGATCAAACATTGATAGAGGAAACAAAAAAAGAAACTTGTTTTTTGTTTAGGGCACAGTCAATTCCATATCCAGATTTAAGGCAAAAGGGGAAAGAAACAGGCTTTAGGAAATGTAACAAAAAAAAAATAAAATTATTGCGCACCAACGTCCTGGGGAGAATATCAAATAGATTTGGTAATAAATAGAATTTTAAAGCTTTTTTAAAATAAAATATAAAACTTATAAGCTCAAATGTGTGGTTCCCTGATGATATTTTTTAATTAAGCCAATTGCTCTCTCTAGCAATGTTATAATGATATTTTATGAAAATATTTTTATTATTCTTATATCTTGGTTAAAATGTCTAAACAAAATTTAAAACCTCTGTGACAGGATTCCATAAAATATACGATTGGTTGGTTCCAATCTGACGCAGAAATTCAGAACATCCTCCTCCAGTGGCCCAAAAAGTGTGAGTTCAATTTGGCAGTAGAGCAATTAACAGGGAGATAACACATCCATTAAACATGGCATAACTGGAACAGTCTATCCCAGTGAGTAAAATTTCTTCGACATTCCAACCACCTGAAGAAGGCCGAGCTTACAACTAACATAGGCAATAGTCAAATAATGTTCTCAGTTTTTAAATGATTCTGTCAACCTGTCATCTTGGCTCTTGAACCCCCAGAAGAGTAACTCATTGAGCAATGCAAATATTCATTCATCTGAATTTATCTTGTTTGTCCATTTATCTTGAATAATTGGTGTGGTGCTTAGTTTGTGAATCTTTTACCATAATTAATTTGCCACTTTCCCTCTGCCTTTTCTATTTTCTTTGACCTTGTTACTAAATTTAATTTGCTTTCTCAACATTTTACTGTTGAAATTGTTTGTTCTATTCTTTGTATTATTTTTTGCCTCTTCCAGTTCTTTTTCTTTGCACTTGTTTGATAAAATTGTTTATTGCAAACTTTGTCAAAAAATTTTCTGTTTTGATGTGGCAGATGTGCCATTTATTTACATATAGCAATGGCCATTCATTCACTACATTTCTTGATTCTCACCTGTGGAACTCTCTTCTGATTTCTTGCTTTGTTGCAACCTAAAATTTTTCAAAAGCTTTTGTTTAATTGTATTTACTGGTTTGATTGGTTTTCTTTTTAAGGACAATAATGTCTGAAAAAATATAACTTTTTCTCATACTGACAGGATGCATTATGGAAGTTAATAAAGATATTAAGGAAAGAATTTTTGCAAGTCTTTCACATGACATATCAACAAACAAAAAAAAACAACACCTCTCAACTGGGCATTATTTTTCTTTCAAAATATCTCCATGATACGGCCAACTGAAAATTTTTTTTTTAAAAATTGCTGGTAATATTTTTGTTTTAGAGAAAAATTGTTTTTTGTCAAAATATCTATTTTGGGGAGAAGGAGAAATAATTTTTCCTTCAAAAAAATTTAAAAACCTCTGTATTGCATGGTAATATTTTTTTCCCCAAAAACATATTGTTGGTAATTTTTTCTTCCAAAATGTCTGAATTTCTGGTAATATTTTTTTTTTCCAAAATGTATTAATTTGCTTTGGTTTTATTATTTTTTTTCTTTTCAAAAACTGTATTGTTTTGGTAATATTTTTTATAGCCCATTCAGAAATGTTTTGTAGCTGGTTTGGTTTGGTTTGTTTTAATTTTATTTTTAAAAAAAATTTTTATTGCTGGTAATATTTTTTTTTTTTTTAAAATGTATTATTGCTAATATTTTTTTTTCAAAAATGTATTGCTGGTAATAGTTATTTTTTTTTTTTCAAAAATTTATTGCAAAAATGATAATAATTTTTTTTTCAAAATGTATTTCTGGTATTTTTTTTTAAACCTATTTTTAATAGTTATTTTTTTTTCAAAAATTTATTGCTGATAATAATTTTTTTTTACAAAGTATTTCTGGTATTAAAACCTATTTTTACACTTTCATAGTTTTTACCCCAGTTTCAGGGTTAACTATTTGCCCATAGCTGGGACCCTAACAGGTGCTACCACTCTGGGTCAGGGTGGACCTGGGAACACCACCAATTAAGAGGTGTTTCCACACTACTCAAAATGTACTGATCAGAGGCCTTGCTGCTGGACATAGTTTATCGTCTTACTCAGGACGAAGATGTAGTTTATCATCATACCCAGGATGTGTTGAGAAACTGGAGTCAGAAGAAAAAAAAAGACATTTCTTGAGGGCTTCTGTTTTACAGACCAAGCAGAAAAATTAATTAGAGACTACTGTATACATTTGATTATAGTGTGAATTTTTTATGATTCTTCTTTTACGTAAAAATTTGAGGGTCATATTATACACAGGTAATTCTTTTGAAGGCCATTGTATAAAATAATTCATGCATTTTCAGTGACTGTAACCTACCTGGTAGGCCTACACTCTTGTGGTACCTTTGTTTTAAACAACTTCTGTTTGTTTGTTTGTTTGTTTTATGTCATATCAACCTCAATGGGTTATTTAACACAGCCCAAAATTTTTATTGCTGGTAATATATTTTTTTTCAAAAATCTATTTCTGGGAATATTTTTTTCTTCAAAAATCTATTTCTGAGAAAATTTTTCCTTCAAGAAATCTATAGCTGGTATTGTTTTTTTTGTTTTTATTTTTTTTTATGTAAAGCTGTTTGTATTGCTGATGATAATTTTGCATTCAAAAATTATTGTTGGCAATTTTTTTTTTTTTTTACAAAGTATTTCTGATATTAAAACCTATTTTTACACAAGTGTTAACTATTTGCCCATAGCTGGGACCCTAACAGGTGCTACCACACCGCATCAGGGTGGATCTGGGAACACCAGCAATTAAGAGGCAGTTCCACACTTCAAAACCTCCTGATCAGAGGCCTTGCTGTTGGATGTAGTTTATCGTCTTACCCAGGACACGAATATAATTTATTGTCATACCCAGGACGACAACTTCTGTTTCTAGCAAAGTAAAAGAACAAAATATGTATATAGAGTACATTTTACTTACTATGACTTGAATTATAATAACCTGGTGTATGTACCTGAACTCATGGGACATCCTGCATTAGGTACAGCTAATCCCGAAAAAAAAGATTTGTGTTTGTCATGTCTGGTTTTCTAAGTAAAATAAATGTAAACGCCAACTCTGACACAAAAAACTCAACACTTTGATGCAAAGACAGTCTGCAACACTCTGATGGTCCACACATTAAGAGCACTTGCCCATGACTGAGAAAAAGCTGATGTTATATAGCTCTCCCAGTCCAAGACATATGCTGACTATTGGCTAATATCTACCGAGTATTGTCCGTAGGCAAACAGCCAACTGTCTAAGAGGATGCAACTCCTGGTGCTTAATGTACCACAAGATTGATTCTCCATTACAAAGTTGTCATTGGAATGGCAATTAATCATTGATGTAAACAATGGCAAAACAAAGATGAATGCAAATTTGAGAAAGCAAAAATCTATTAATTCTTCATTTATATAAGATATTTGTTGATTTTAAGTGGCATACATAATAGCTGAGGTTTTGTTCTTGATGTAGTGACAAAAGGGAAAAAACTCCGGCTATTTAGGAGTCAGGCCAGGAGTAAAGGTGCTACTGTAGTCAGGCAAGAAAGAAAACAAAAAGCAAACTACTATCTAAATTTTCATATCAGTTATTTTACAGTAAGTGGGTTTTCTCACCATTTTTTGAGTAGCGTTGTGCAAAAAAGAATGAAAACTATTTATTTGCTATAAAATGTAACCAGAATGATGCACAGTACTACAATATTTGACTACAGTAGGCCTACTAGTATTCCTCAAAAGCTAGAGTTGCATTATATACAAGCTATATGAAAAAACATTTTTTTGCAAAAGAATTCAGAGGTCGCATTATACACAAAGTAGGCTTATTCACCAGTATTTACGGTAAATTATTTAAATTGTAGGTTTTGTAATTTTGAGAATAGTTTGCTATTATCATGGTAATTATAATACTAACCATTTCCTTATAAGGAAACATTCAGCATTTATTGACTGAGCAGCTACTTTTGGTTGAAATTTATAAAATCATTCTATAAAAATAATTGTTTTTGGAAAGTAGGTTTCTCAAGTCCAGTAGCTGTTATTGCTTTTGTTAGTATTGACAAGAACAATTACCATGAAAACTTGTGAAATCTATCTCAAAATGAAGAAATAATTTTGATCTGCACTGTTAGCTATTAGTATATTCATGTGATTAAAATTAATTACTTGACCTATACACTCTAGTATAGTTTTTATGATCAGTTCTTTTATGCAAAAAATAGGGGGCACACTATAGACAGGTAATTTGTTTTGAAAAGGCTAAAATTATGCATTATATAAGGTATTTGTTGATTTTAAGTGGCATACATAGTAGATGAGGTTTTGTTCTCGATGTAGCGACAAAAGGGAAGAAACTCCAGTGACATAGGAGGCAGGCCCAGGGTAAAGGCCCAGGCATGAAAGAAAACAAAAGTACGTGAATCTAAATCTTTGTATCAGATATTTTACACTAAGTGGGTTTTCTGAGCATTTTTGCGGGTAGCTTTGTATAAAAATGAATGAAGACCATTTATTTG